AACTTGTTTGATTAACCCAAATCCTTGATTCATTGTTTTGAATAAAAGACTGATTGGGAATATTTTTTGTTTGCAGGAGGTTGACAGTGAGGAAGATGATGACTCGATATTTTGAGATTTGTAATTTATAATGGGTAGAGTAGATATATATTGCTATTAATATTTTTATTAAAAAATCTGAATCAGAATATACGGAAATCGGTTTGAACAAAATCAGAACAGATTTCCATACAATAAGATAATAAATAAAACATTTTTTTATTTTAGTAAAGATTTCTAGTACTTTTTTTTTTTACTTATTGGATGTTATGGGGTTTTTTTGTTAAACCGATTTTATGGGATATAATACAGATACAATTAGAGGATTGAACAAAATCAGAACAGATTTTCATACAATTAGATAATAAGAAGGAATTAGATAAAGAATTTTGAATATGTCTTTTTTTAGTATAGATAGACTTTACGTACAAATTTTGACTTCACCAATTTTATGGGATTTTTTTTGACAAAATCGATGTTAATATGAAATAAGACAAATAAATAAAGCCTTTTTTATTTTAGTAAATATTTTACGTCTTTTTATTTTTTTACTTATCAGATGTTATGTGATTCTTTTTTCCTAAACTGATTTTATGAGATATAAGACAAATAAATAAAATAATAAAATAAAATTATGGATAGAAATAGCTAGGCATTAATTACGTTGAGTTTTCAACCTACTAAATTTGGTAAATAGGATACCTTATTATATAAGTATATATTATGAAAAGAACACTATTGATTTAGGTATATAATAATACATGATAATGTTCACCTACCCACGGTGGGCGCATGTTAATATGCACACCGCTTATGTGGCATTCACACATTGCTGATGTTAATATGTTCAAAAAAATACATCACCAATGTGTGAATGCCACATAAACGGTGGGCATATTAACATGTGTCCACCATGGGTAGGTGAGCATTACTGATATAAATAGATTTGTTAGTTTTATATACCCAACTAGTACAACGCCCGTGTATTACACGGATGCTTGTTAAAATTTTCTTAAAATTTAAAATTAATGAGAAAAAGTAATTGAAAATTTAAATATTTTATATATATATATATTATTTTTGTATGACACTTGTTACTTGTGCGACTTATATGTGTTATATTATAATAATTTTTCTAACTTATAACATATAACTACATTAAACATGAATATATTAATTGAGAAATAATTTTATTTTTTAATTAATTTTAATAAATATATTTTTATTATTGCAAAGACAAATGTAATTTGTTTATTTTATATATACAATATGAATGTCAAATCGAAGCTCATCAAAAGATGATTAATTTGATACATTATATATGTAAAACCTATAAGAAAAAAAAAATTATCAACTTTTAAAATACATTTACAATTCATTAGTTATAATAGGAAATGATATTAAAATACAATTAATACATCTAGAATAAATAAATCAACATATCTATGGTAATTCGAACCTAATTGTTTTGAATTGGAATTAAATTAAAATCTATCCAAACCAAATAACAAAGTATGGAATTTTGCACCTAGGACTCCGAAGCATGCGAGCCTGCCACTTAGGCTCAGCACATTCAGGAATTATATATAGAGGCGATAGGAGTCATAAATAATAATAAAAAAAATTATTAAGAAGAATTAATATCATTTTTTTTTTAAGAAAAAAGTCCTTAGGGGCAACTAGGTATAAACTAAACCCTTTTTTATTGGATCTTGAATTAAAGTGAGATAATTTTAAATAAAATTCATTTTAGATTGAGTGAGATTTGAGTTTATATTTAAATAATATTTAAAATATAACGATTGAAGTTTGTGTGATGTAAAGTAGGCAAAATGTTATTGGTAATAATAAATATAAGAGAATGAATTAATAGTGAATTAAAATTGATGTGACATATGATGATTATTGATTGATATTATTTATTTAATCGTGTTGATAAAGATTTGATGATTATTGATTAATATTATTTATTTAATTATGTTGATATACTGAAGAGAGTTGAGTTGTATTAAGTTTAAATTGAATTTTGAGTTAAATATTATAAACTATTATCAAATCCGTCCAAATTGACTTCGATAT